ATAAAAAGAGAGAGAGAGAGAGAGAGAGAGAGAGAGAGAGAGAGAGAGTGAGAGCGAAAGAGAGAGCGAGAGAAAGAGCGACAACGAGAAGAAAGGGGTAATACCAGTCGGAAAATCATAGGAGATTAACTGCGTATCGAGGCGCGTTATCGGTGCTAATACGCGAACACAGAAGGAAGAAGCGAAGCAGCGCGGACGTAGAAAATGTAATTTCGTTCGTGATAATTCCGCGCTCTGTCTCGTGGAGTATCTTATACTCCCTGAAGAGGTAAAGAAGCGAAGAAGAAGAGAAAGAGAGAGAAAGGGAGAAGGAGAGAAAGAGAGGGGAAAAAAATTACTGAACGTACGAGACTTATGACTGTGCCTTCGTCAGTGTCGAGTATCAGCGGCACTACTTTCGTTTCGGCAACGAGCGCCGTCTGCAGCCACGGTCATCGTCGTCGGTATCAAACCCGAGGAGTCGCGATCGCGACTGACTCGCAGGTGATGGGGATAAAAAAAAGAAAAAAAAGAGAGGAAATGCGACGAGCGCGTTTCGTACGACACACGAAAAAACGAAAAAAATGAAGAAGTAACAAGTAAAGCAATTCAATACGCCGGTCGATCGGTCGCGCAGTGATACTGTAACAGCGAGGAGAATCGTACGGGGGATACTACGAGAACCACACACATGAGAACTCTGTCTAGCCATTTTTTAAACGTTTTTCTACGCGCACTATACGTCAGCTAGACGGTATCTCTCTTACGATGCGACGATCGCAGAAATGTAGAGAGAGATCGGGAAATCGGGGTAAAAGAAAAGATCGCGACGTCGTGACTCTTACGGTATCACTGCGACAATCTTGAGCGACGACGATATACATATGTCATTTATTTGCTACGCGATCGAGCGTGTTCTGGATCCATTTATTCGGCTGCTACGTGTGTCCCGATGATCGGGTCACGTTACTCACGTTTGCTGACGTACACGCGCACTCGGACACGATCGAGAGATTAATGGATCGGCATCGGCCGTCCGTGCTTCCATAATCTTAAGCCGCGAGGATCCGGAGATCCTAGTCGTTTTCCTCTCGGGGAAAAAACTTTCGATCGAGCTGTCTTCTCCTTTTCTTTTTTTCTCTTTGTGTGTGTTTCTTTTTATATTTTTATTTCTTAATCGATCCGCCACTATACACAGTGCCAACGATCGTGTCCCAGTGCGCGCGCGGGTGTGTGTATGTGCGTGTGTGTGCATGGTGCATATATATGTTAAAGATGAGAGGAAGCCAGAGACGAAAGATACACGCATCTCAAAGCTCAAACAGCGGCTCGCGCGGAGGACCGATCGAGAATTTGCTTCTCCGGCGAGCTGGCGTCATTATATAAATATAAATATAAATATATATATATATAAATATAAATATATACATTTATATAATTCTTTATATACATTGTACCCTCCTGATGATAATACTTAACGATAACGATATTCTATACGTTTGTACGAAAGTATAGTTATCTAAGACGAGATGATTGCCCCAGTGGTTCTTCAGTCTCAAAGTGTCGCGCTATGAAGCAGGAAACGAGAACAAAACTCCCGCGAGACTTTTCGGATTTTTCGCGCCGGGTTAATGATTTAATTGTCCAATAAAACGATGACACGCGATCCACATCGTTCGATCGTCGTTGAAAAGCGAAAGCTGTCGCTCAACATCACGCTCAACGTCACGCTTTGAGACTCTGGAACTTGGAGCGTATTCTTAGTATAATAAAAATAGAACGAATACTATATCGTCGCACAAATACTGCGCATACTGTCTGTATTTATAATAATCGGACGAAAACGAGTCGAAGTTCGGTCTTCCTGATATCAGCGGCCCGTTAGTTCTAGTACTCGTTTATCGACTAAGCTCGTATTCTGCCCAGGCGAACAGCTTCTTCTTGCGGAGAAACTATCACGGAACATGCGTTTTCACATTGTTCGTAACGCAAAGGATCTCTCTCGACTTGAAAGACCAACGAATATTAACCGCGGCGTATTATTCATAGAGCTTCCACGGCAACTCGATCGTGATATACAAAGTGGCCATATTGTTACTGTCACTATCTTCCGACTTGAACGAAACGAATCTTCCACTTCTTAATAACATCGATAATAAACGATTAACACACGTATATATGGAGCGCTTTTGTTTCACGTCATGACTGGTAGAAGAAAAAAAAAAGAAAGAAAAGAATGATCGGCGCTTCGACATTCGCGCGTGATTTGAGGTAAAGACTCGAAGAGTACATCCTGAGTGAAAGTAAATACCGATGAAGCGAGAGTGGCGGGACACTCTGTGTATTTTCGCAGATCAGGCGACCAACTCGTGCGTTCGGTTAGATCGAGACACATCGGTGTCATAACTCTCAATTAGCTGACAATTGATGAATAAGAATAAGCGATCTCGATCTTGTCTTCCATCGCGATTACGTTCATCGTCACGGCGCGTGCTCCTTGTCTAAGTATCGCGACACGCGGCGTACCTTGGACAGTTTGCTCAAGGCTCATTGAAAGTTACGCGACTGATGATGAAAACGACGCGAAATCGATCGTCGATGCGTGTGAGTGCGTGCGCGCCGGTTTCGCCGGCATTTTGCACGGCCGTTTGAAGTTGTGCGAGCGGTGCGCTGTTATCACGGCTCGTCGCTTGAGAAACGGAGTCGAGTCAGTTCTTTCCAAGCCAATATAATCTAGCGATTAGTCCGAACTTAGTATTTATCTTAATATCCAGCCCTTCACTCTCATAGCGGATAATATTACCGAAGGTAATGAGTGTCGAGTGTATCGAATAAGTACGATATTATGGTATGCATTTAGCCGTAACGTGTAAGGTATATGACCATGATGAATACGTAGTATGTGCATGTAATAAACTCGTGTCGTAATCGGAAGGCAGCGAGGTGTCCGTGAGTTCTCCGGACTTGCGCTACTTTATTGTTATATATAAACGCATAATACGCATTGTACTTACTCGCACAGAGAGAGCGACCAATTTCCATCCACCGTCGTCGTCGTCCGCCCTCGCAGAGCCGCTCCGCGAATACGTTCGCGCGCGATCACGTTCGCGACATATTTGATTTCCCGTAAGAGCATCTGGGAGGAACGCGGAACCGGAACGGTTTGAAGTTGGTCGTGCAAGAGTTGCGCGTAACTGAATCAACGTCGCGCGTCGTCAGTACGTAAAGATACTCAATCCCAGCGCGATGGACATCCCGACGTTTCTTTTTATACGTGAGTACGATCGTAATGGCTGCTATCGCGCCCTTATTCCGCATTATGCAATTTGATATTGTTCGCCGCGTATTATAATAAATATGTGATAAATGGAAAATAAACGAGCCGGGAGTAACCCGGCGGTGCCGACTGTACGGAAGTAGGCTAGGTTTGACAGTACGTGCTAGTATAAAGTGTCCTTTTATATGAATAAAAGATTTTGTATGTCAATTTTTATGCATTTCCCTGCGTCTCTCTGCCTGGTCTTCACTGCTATGCAACATCTATTATTCCTTCACTTGTTCTCTGACGACGAAACCGCGGTACAGTCTGATAAAATAGATTATAACCTTACTCGATTACGATAGATCATGACGTTACTCGTCGATTAAACGCGGAATTGAGCGAATACTTCGTAGTGTATAACCCGATGAAAGTTAAATAATCTTGATTTTCTACGTAGAATGCTGTGTTCGCAGGACACATTGGATAGAAAGGAACGGAGGGTATAGTCTTGAAAACATTTATTTATTAATATTCCAACATTATAAGACGCTATATAATTACGAATAGCAGGCGGTTCGTGTTCGAACGTTCCTTGTTCAGCGCACCGTAGTCCACTGGTCCGCATCCGGCGACGGTTACGAACATATCGAACAAGGAATCAAGGAAATCAAAAGAAGCATAAAGAAAGTATGTTCGTATCTTTTTTTAATTGCATATCGTAGCGAAATTTATAATTGCGGATTTTATATATCGTAAAATGGCTGGGCGATCGTGTTTCAAGCTATAGCATTGGTAACGTGTGTTTTGATGCCTGACATGGTGGCGTTATTTTTCAGTGTTCGTGTCAAGTGGACAAGTATCGTGTTACTAAAGTTTTGAGCAAAATACGCGATAGGATTGTTGTCAACGAACGATGGAGGCTGGTGCGAGTACAGGTACTCGTACAACGCGATTTATGATGGAAGGTGTCGGCGCCCGAGTGATTCGTGGACCGGAGTGGAAATGGGGAAAACAGGTTAGGTTGATAGGTTAAGTGTATTAAATATAAGTTTTTCAATGTAACACTATGCTTCTTTCTCTTGCTGTCGTTTGTAATAAATATTTTAATCTGTCCTATTACCTATATTGGCGATTAGATCATTTTTTGCAAGAAAATTATATCTGAAAAAAACTAATTTATTTTGCTGTAAGGTTATTTCTGTGCACATTGTTTATTGCATTGATATTTTGTACTTATTCGGATTGTAAATGTATTCTGCGTTTATTCAACTTGTAATCAAGTCTCACAGTATTGTATAGAAAAGTATTTATGATTTTCTGGAGCAACGTTAATTGTATTCTGTAGTGACAGTGACATCTCTGTTTTCAATGATATGTGATTGATAAACATATAGATATATTGTTAGGAAATCTTCTTATATTAACAACAAAGCTGTAAGAATACATTCATTGTCACTTTGTAATTGTATGTCTTTCAAAGGATGGTGGAGAAGGTCATGTGGGTACTGTCAGAAACTTTGAATCTCCAGAAGAAGTTGTGGTTGTATGGGATAATGGTACAGCAGCTAATTATCGTTGCTCTGGAGCGTTTGATTTGCGTATACTAGATTCAGCACCAACTGGTGTAAAGCACGATGGAACAATGTGTGATACCTGTCGCCAACAACCAATTTTTGGAATTCGATGGAAGTGTGCTGAATGTGGCAATTATGACCTTTGCTCTATCTGTTACCACGGAGATAAGCATCACTTGAGGCATAGATTTTTTCGCATTGCCACTCCAGGAAGCGAAAGAGTTTTGCTGGAGCCTAGAAGAAAAAGCAAAAAGGTATGAATAATAACTGATAGTCTTATTATTTGAAGCTTACTTATTGTATATCATAATTTCTAAAATCAGTATTTTACTTCAGATCGCAATTCGTGGTATATTTCCTGGTGCAAGAGTTGTGCGCGGTGTAGATTGGCAATGGGAAGATCAAGATGGTGGAAATGGTCGACGGGGTAAAGTTAATGAAGTGCAAGACTGGTCTGCAGCTAGTCCACGCTCAGCAGCTTATGTTATTTGGGATAATGGTGCCAAGAATTTGTATAGAGTTGGATTTGAAGGCATGGTTAGTATTATGTCATTAATTATAACCTCAATTGTGCACATGAGGATTCATGTGTACTAATATATATTTTTTTGTGCGCAGGCGGATTTAAAAGTTGTCAACGATGCAAAAGGACAAACGGTATACAGAGATCATTTGCCATTACTGGGTGAACAAGGCCCAGGCCGAACAGGACCTCATGGTCTTCAAATTGGTGATCAGGTGATTATATATAAATAATTTGTTTTCTATTTCTAATATATATTTCTGTTACATGTGTATGAAGATTGGAAAATAATATATTTTCTTATATTCATAGGTTAATGTTGATTTGGAATTGGAAATTGTACAATCATTGCAACATGGCCATGGAGGTTGGACAGATGGAATGTTTGAATGTCTCGGAACTACAGGAACAGTTGTTGGTATTGATGAAGATCATGATATCGTTGTGTCTTATCCAAGCGGCAACAGATGGACATTCAATCCAGCTGTACTTACTAAAGTACAGATACCTGTACCTGTTACCAGTTCAAGTTCTGACAATCAGACATTTGCAGTTGGGGATTTAGTTCAAATATGTAATGATATAGAAAAGATCAAATTACTCCAACGTGGTCATGGGGAATGGGCTGAAGCAATGGCTCCAGTAAGTATATTAGTATGTTGAATATATGAGACATATAAATTCTATTTATTTTTACATTTTACATATTATCTTTGTACGATTCTTCCAGACTTTGGGGAAAATAGGACGTGTACAACAAATATATCATGATGGAGATTTAAAAGTGGAAGTCTGTAGTACATCATGGACATACAACCCCCAAGCTGTCACGAAAGTTGCTAGTAGTGACGGAAGTGTGCAAGGAAATAGTAGTGGAGGTAATAAGATAAATCAAGTTGATTAGTCATTCTTTATTAGTCATATGCTGATTTATAATATCATAGTAATAATATATAACATACATATATAAATAATACGTGACATACATGTATGAATTACAATACTGCTTTGTTTTTTCAGAGCGGTTATCGGCGCTATTAAAGAAATTGTTTGAAACGCACGTCTCGGGTGACGTTAATGAAGAATTAGTAAAAACTGCAGCGAATGGTGACGCTGCTAAATGCGAAGAATGTTTGAAACGGCCAGAAGCTGATGTAAACGGTGTATTTGCTGGTCACACCGCTTTACAAGCCGCAAGTCAAAACGGCCATTTAGAAGTTATCAAAATACTCCTTCGGTATAAAGCAGATGTAGAGATAGAGGTAAGTATTTTATTTTTACTGCGAGCTCTTTATGATGCCAGTATTATGCCGGAGTATATATTTCATACATTTTCTTATTGAAAAAACAGGATAAAGATGGTGATAGAGCCGTCCATCATGCTGCCTTTGGCGACGAGCCGGGAGTTATGGCTCTCCTCGCTGGTGCCGGCGCCGATCTAAACGCTCGAAATAAAAGACGTCAGACCGCTCTTCATATTGCAGTAAATAAAGGACATGCTGGCGTAGTGCGAACTTTGTTGGAATTAGGATGCCATCCGAGTTTACAGGTAAGTATGTGCAACTTATACGATATATTTACACTAACATTCTCAGCGTTCGTTTTCAGAATGTTGTATATTTGTTAAGTATATGTATGTTTGTTATATATGAACCAAATTGAAAACACAACTATATCGGATAATATTAAACACATTTTATATATGTAATCAAAAGTGTTTTTTGATTGTACGACGCTGCGAATAATAGTGTAATTATACTTCTGAAAATATTTTTATCACGCCACAGTGTATTGAAAGTTTATTAACACTTATCGGGAAAATTGTACACGGGCTCATCATCATTGTTACAAACAGATTAAACAGTAATTCCGTTTATACAGTCGCGAAGTAAATCAACGACTTAGAAAACCACGGGTTTATTGTAGGAGATTGTACCGGAATGAAATCTCGTGAAATATAACCGTAGGCGGAGGTTTCGGTGGTGGGCCGCAAGGGAGGATAAAGGGAGGAGAGGGAAGGAGGTTGTTTATTTTATTCTTGAACTGTCTGAACGTGATATATTTGTGGTATTCCACCCTCCAATGATTTATGCCGGTCTGCAACTGCGTAAACGAAGACCTCCTGCTACTACCCCTTTGCCTCTCTCTCTCTCTCTCTCTCATTTTGCTTCGTTTTCCTTCTCTCATATCGTTTCCAACGCTGCGTATTTCTTTGCTGAATATATAACTCGATAATATGGCGACTTATAGCTTGTAATCTGTATATCCTGAAAAATAATTCTTTTAAGTCTCCAGCTTTTTTAATCTGATAAAGTATAGAAATATAGAGAGAGAAGAAATGTTACGAGTCTAAAAAATTTTAGATGTACATTCTATATTTGAAAGTTTGTAAGAATAATGTTACGATATGCGGTAACTCTGAAGAGATACTTTTCGTTTACTTTCTCTTCTTATAAAATCAAATGTGGAACGATAAAACGACTTACTTGGAATAAAGAAAATACATTTGGATTCGACATGTGAAAAAGACGTAATAAGGGTAAAAAATAAGGGAACGGTGAAAGAAAGAGAGAAGGTGGAAGGAAGGTAGAAGCAAAACGAAGGATGGAGGGAAGAAGAGTATGTGGTGTTGAAGAAGGAGGGAGATTCCAATCAGGATATATCGGCATATATATTACCCTCCTTGCCTCGATATTTGAGAGCGGACCCTGCAGGGCTGGCGGGTATAACCACACGCAGCTGTATTTTATTATTGATGGCCCTGGGGATGCTTGTGAATTTCCTGCGTGTTAAACGGTCAACTGTGCGGACGTTCACTGATACCGCAGATATTTAAAGTATCGTCACGATACAGTTCCATTTTCACGAGCGTACGCCGCGAAAAACGACTACGACTATGATGTATATATCTTTGCTCTTCTCCTTTTTCGCACTTTTGAGATCGCACCTTAAATGTTTCGCATAAAACAGCGATAGCATGCCTGCTCGTCGTTATTTTAGAGAGAGAGAGAGAGAGTTCGGGCATTTTTCATCGCCTTTTAATATCCTCTCACGAGCGTCGGATACGCGAATGTGAATTAGTGTTAATTCACCTTTGTTACACGGGTATCTCCTCATTTGCAAGAGACTTAATTAATTCAGTTATCTGCCTCGAGGAAGCCTCGAATTCCACCTGCGTTACGAGTGTCGCGGGATTGTGTTTGAGAATACGTGTTGCGCATAATCAAGGCGCACTGTGTGTATATTTGGTGCTCCAGCAATGGGATATAACACTGCGGATCCCTATTTCCCTCCGAAACAATTCGAACCTGAAGACAACTAGAAACGTTTTCTGCGATAAACAACATTTACGTGTTCGGCATACATTGAGGACCGCTATTTTCCCGGCTTTTTTATTTCTCTCTCTCTCTCTCTTTTTTACCAAAATTATTCTAACGGAATGGTTGCGCGGAATTCTCTTTGCTTTTTGATTTCGAGGATTGCGCGTCGCTTTATCCTAAAAACATATTACGCAATGTCCGAACGGAGTTACTTCCCGATAGTTTATCGAAGATGCGGGAAAATTTGTCGGCATCTCTGGAGCGTTAGAGCATTAGAGCATGTAAGTAATTACAGTAAATTATCGCGGAAGCTTTTTCTTCTCATAACGCTCGCCAACGGCTGAGAGAAGTAATTAAGAAAGTTAGGCAATACCCTCCTCATTTTCATAATCACCGCACAAAATGGTATAAATTAACAGTAAACGTAAATCAACGATGTTTTTACGCGGTGCTGGGAGTATCGCGACCGTCGTGAAATACCGTCCCGTATATTTCATCGGGCCCGGGGGCACGAGGTTCGCGAAAATATGCTTGCATTAGCGCGCGCGTTCACAGAATTACGGTTTCGCGTCTGTTTCTCTTCTCGACCACGCTCGTTCCGCGGCACTTAAACAAGCGGCATTTGCATAATTGCACTTTTTAAGCGGTTGGAACTTCTTAAATGAGAGATTACCGCGGAAGTACATTGTCGAATCTAGAGAGCTTTATTATTCGCGTAATCCTTGTCGAATATTTCCCCATACAAATGGGATATCGTATATTCCGCTAAATCGGAGAACTACAATTGTCGTACTACGCTATACTTTGCTTTTACTCGACGTTCCGCGTCATGTTTGCCGCACGGTAACCACGAACGCGTTCGCCGTGATCTTGTCTCACTTCGTCATGAGAGAGTCTTCGAAAAGAATTTTTTTCTCTCTCATTGCGATGTACTTTCGCGCGAAGGAATAAAATTTCAACGATCACGTACGTATGTGCCAGACAGGAAAGGCAGACTCTCGGGCGGCACGTGCGCGAAATTCCGACAAGTCGATCCGACAATAGCGGCGCCGGGGGCGAAGGGGCGGAAGGGTAAGGGGAATTTTTGCGATCGCGCCATCATCCTGTCTGCTTCGTTGAAGGATCGGACTAATCGAAATACCGGACGTCTTCGGGGTCCTACGTGTGTAGGTGCTTTCGATCCGCAGCAACCCTTCGTTGCTCCCGTTAAAATCGAGCCAGTCATCTGGCTTTAACGGCTTCCGCTCTGTTCATTTCGGGATACCCAGGGAAAAATGTCGAGAGACGTACGGCGATAATGCTTTTATCTCCGATCGTCCGATCTCTTCCTCGTTGTTATGGCCGCCTGATCGAAAAGGGGAGGGTAATAATCATGGAAGCCGGAGCGGAATAATTCGCGTTGATGAGTTTTATACGGTGGTCGCGGTCATAGATTTTCGGGGCAACGTTTGCGTCGCGACAAGGAACCGGCAATACTCGCTGTAACACAGTTGTCAGGTACGTGTATCGTGTGAATTTCATCCAATGAGGATTAATCGCTTTGGAGAAACTGCATTCTCTCGTGACGCTGTGCAACTCAATCTCCTCGACATGGCGTTCCCCCAGCCGAGACCGTTCTGTTTTACGAGCTCGGTCAGGACATCGCGTACACGCCATAATCGAGGCCGATTGTGTTCGTTGCACAGCCGATACTGTGCCGAATAAATTTGCGAAATAAATTGTAGGCGATCCGCGGGAGTTCGAAGTCAGGTTCGACCTGACCTATAATTCAGTTGAATATTATCGAAGACGAAAAAAGACACTCCCGCTCTTTGATCGTTCACGAGAGTTATCTCAATATTTCATTTGCATTTAATCTTTATTCTTTATTTTGATAATTAACATAACTAATTATTTGATCTAACTGCAAATAGAGCATGTATAGGATAAGCAAATATTAAATAATTAATGTGAATATACAATAAGGTTAATCCAAGGATAAAGTAACAAATTATTTTTATTTATCTTTATTATTATTTTTTATCAGTGTTGGAGATTTCGATAAGATTTAAATATACAAATGGATTGGGAAGGAGATAATTAAAGGCGATAACAGTCGAGCATCCAATCATTTAGATAACAGATATTCAAATTCAGAGTTGATACAATGATAAGGATAAACTTCAGTGAAAAGAAACCGTTTGCAGATTTAAGATAGAACTTGCAGCCCACGGAGCGTTATTAAAGATTCAGTAGATTCTAAATTTCAGGTGTTCTTTTGTTTTCAGTAGGTTCGCAAAACATTCGTTAAAATTAGAAACATCTAGTGTAATAAATGATTTGACACACTCGATACATTACACATCATGTATGCCTATGTTCTGCGTTTTTCTTCTAAGCTTTTCTGTATCCAGCATCCTGTTGCCAGCTGAGCTCTATCACTAACACTACGAATGCTCATTCGCAGTATGACACTCGCGTAGATATGATTTGATTGGAAAAACATGTGTTAATCAATGCGATGTCGAAATATTTTAATACCAAACACTTTTGAATATTCTTGCATTCGTAATGAAGTATCTAGGCACGCAGCTAACGTTGACCGCGTTGAAGGTTGGCACTGTCTTGAGAGCGTATTGTTATGATCAATCGGCCGTTATACGTTTACGACGCTCATCGGCGAGCAACAACAGCCACCGATTGTTTTTTTGGTAGCTCGTGCGTACACTTGTTCGTGATCGAATCATTGTGTCTCGAGTCGACGAGCGACGCGTACACATATCGCGACGCGGAGCACGTGTATCGGCACGTGTTATCACGATTCTTTCTCAAATATTTAATCGAGTTGTCTCGTCGGAATCGCGTTCATTAACACATATTTCTCGGATTGTGAGTGTCAGTGTCACGAGTGAGCATTCAGAGTGCCATGATGGAGCAGCTGGAGCCAGAACGCTGAAACGGGAAGTCAGAGGAGATAGAGGATGCAGGCAGCGATGCATCATGCATCTCCAGGTATATCCAATCATTTATTGTACAGGATATTTCCGATTTTAACAAACGCGCGATTGACGAAATTGTCGAAAATAAGGAGATATACCCGAATCGAAATTCAAGTTGGCATTCATAATCTGTTATTATTTGACAAATAACTATAACTATACGAGAATTTTTGGTTATTCGTTAACTTATTATTATACAATAAGATTATTGTTTTTATTTAAACAACTAAACAACAACTTATTAATATGAA